CCCTTGGACGGACTTGGAGACCACCTTGGTGCTCGCGCGGGAAGCGGGGTAGGCGGCTGCGGCACGGTCGAGAGGGTCACGTATGCCGGTGCCGCCATGCCGGGCAGGCAGCAGCATCAGGTCGACCTCGGACGGCGTCACAGGGCCGCCGAGGAGGGCCGGCAGCAGCTCCTTGGCGATGGCCTCGCGGAGGGGGCTGAGAGCGCACTCGTCGGTGAGCACGACACGAAAGACGTAGTCCCACTCCATCTGCAGAGACCTCGTCATTGCCGCGTGGGCCGTGTGTGGGAAGTTGCGGGCAGCAGACGTGAGCGCGCGCACGCCGCGCACCCACCCCTCGACCTTCTCGCAGAGGAACGCCGCCCTTCCCCCCTCATCGCCCACGTAGCCGCCCAGGAACCTCTTGCCCGTGACGATCTGCACCCCCTCGGGCTCGAAGAGTTCCCTTGCGATCTGCTCGAGCTCGGGTTTGACGACGAGGAAGGAAGGATGCAGAAGGCTCATACATAATTCGAGGACAGCGAGACGCCAATAAATTTCGCTGCATACGTGTGTGTTACAGGTATGCCAGCTGTGGATGGGCTAGTGTAGCAGGCAGAAACCTGTGCAACACACTATATAGATGACGGGGGATGGAGAGAGGACGAAAGGCGGAGGGAATGTCAAACCATGTCCAACCAGGGACGGTGGGACAAACGATGGCGTTCACCTGTCGCGCCAGTTTGCCACTCTCGTACCTTGTGCACAATGTGTCTGTTTTCAGCGTACAGAAGGATGCGGCAAGACACAGCTTTCGCTTTTGTGCGCATACACTCCACATACACTTGATCCAACTCGCCGTCACAGTAAACACGCTGCTAGGCAGCCGCCAATGTCAATGGCGCGGCGCTCTCCGTGCTGCATCTGTGAGCGGCAAGAGCGCTTGATACCTGGACGGCTCAAGAGCGCGGAGGGACCGCAGAAAACCAGAAAGCACAGACACACACCAGCCTCAATAGTTCGCCACTACGCAAATTGGCGGGTTTCCGTCGCACCGAGATATTCCATTTATTCAGACTTTAGAGGGAAAAGGACTAGAGCTGTCGTGTGCATCCCCCGGCGGAAGGTGGCCCCCCTTTCTTCTTGACAGGAACTCGGCGATAGACCAAGTCTTTTCCTGTCAAGAAGAAAGGCGACGAGGGTGCCAAGCAGATGTAGCCACTGATATATGTACAGACGGTTCCTTTACCCGAAGCAGCCCGCGTAGTGTAAGAGAGTAAGGGCGACTGCTATTCTCTCTTGAGAGACTTGTCATTCATGATATTGGGCGTGCTAGGTATTCGCAAGGAGACGGGAGAGCGAGTCGTATTACACATTGTGTCATCGGACTCTCTCGTCTTCGTGCAGCCTTTGTTGGTGAACAGACGCATGTCGTTGTGTTCTATGTACATACATGTGTTGTATATACATATGCAGACGCAGTGAAGAGGTTGTTGAAGTGATGCGTTGAAAGCTGAATGCTATCACTTGGTTGTCTCAGCATTACAATGTACTGCTGGAGCATGTAGAGGAAGAGACTGACTCCTCGAGTTTTATCTCATACAGTCTCTGGCGCTTTGCAACAAGAGAATGTGTGTATAGTAAAGCGCCACACGTCGAAACAAGAATTCCTGATAGAAAGAAGGGAGTAGGAGCAATATCTGGAAAGAGGGCAATTCCCAGGATGTCGCAGATGCTATTTTTTAAGTTGCTGCAAAAGTCATGGAACGGAGAAGAACATGCGTGCATAACTTGGACTCTTTCTTTCATTTTATTACCTGCAAACGCCTACGGTCATTGCGCTTGTATGATTCGTGGCCAAAAAGAGGAAGTAATTCAGCAGCGCCGCCAGCAAGCAATTGATTGCCGTGCACGTCAAGAAAAATGATGATGTCAGGCCACTGTAGGTCGTCACAGATTTGAACTCGCCGGCCACCAGGACCCACACAAGGAGGTAAAACGACATGCCGCAGGATTGGTAGAAGAGGAGGCTCCACTCGTTGTCCGCGCCGCCATTTGAAAACTCGCGCTTGCTGATGACGCTGTACCAGGAGCCCGCCATGACACCCATTACGGCCAATGTGACTCCAACCGCCGAGAAAAAGAGGTCTGCCCTGTCACATGAAAGACCGCTTCTTCGATTGCCACGAAGAGTGCGTTCGTGGCTGACCATGCTGCAACAAGCGCTCCAACGGTCATGGTTATAGCGGCAAGGACGACTCCACGAGTGGGAATTCGCCTAAAGACCCAATACTCACACGGCATGGTGAACAGACAGCTCAAACGCAGGAGGGCTGAGTACATCGGCACATTTAAATACCTACGGGCAAAAAATGAGAACATGTGTAGCCTGCGACTGTTTTTACTTGAGGGATGACAGTCCACAGAAAATGCGCAGAGAACAGACGAAAGACATGCCCATGAGCTGCCACAGCCGGAGAAGCGTCAGTTGAGGCAGGGGTATCAGCCCAATTAGGCCAAAAAGCCGAAGAAACAAGATAGTGAAAATCTGCTGGGCCAGACAAAGCGCACCCGCCGCTTGAAAGTGGGCGGTTGAGAAAATCGCCTTGTTAAAGATTGTTAGCGCAACCGAAGCGGCCATGTACGCACCACAAGCAGAAACGGCCAAAGCCCAGTCCCGGAACTCTTCTGGGTGGCTTGGAGGCCTTGGTGGCTCAGCCTTTCTGCAGCCAGCCCCGGATCCGAACATCAAAGAAAGAGAAGTATGAAATTTGTAAATCTCCGCTGCGAGGAAGGGAAATGTGACACAAAGACATTTCGCCTCGTCGCTGATGATGTACCACTGCGCTTATGAAGGGAGGAAGCTTACTATGATGTGCTGCATGTTGTGAGGACTGGCTGGACATGGTTGAGAAAAACGGGCTTTTTGTCAATGTGCACAATGCGTACCCTTCCATGGCCATGATTGTTTCGATTGGTACAGGTTTCCGCCGGCGCGCGCTCGTCAAGATACGAAGTGACTGACTGAGCCGTCTGAGACACGGCTTGTTTGCGATGAGTGGGGTTTGTAAGTGAGAGAGAAGCTCTACTTGCATGTGTATAGGGTTTGCATGTTTTTTCCCCTTTGCTTGCTTGATGCGAACTGGTGCTTAGACGCACTTCGTCGCCCGTTCATGTGTCTTACCTAGTTGAAATCACTTTGAAAAATGGCTTGATGGATGGGCCGAGAGCCACACGTGTTGGTCCACGGGACGAACAAACATGAACAGTCGATCATAAGAGACTATGCAAACACTCGTCAGTATCGCCAAACATCTCACGTGCCCGCTCCTCGCAGCCCGTCCGCACCACAGTCGCACCACCAGCTTGCTCTTCTTGCCGCTGGGGTGATAGCCCCTCAGTGGCCCTCTCAGCTGCAGCTCAGCCCACCAATCACGCACCGGCTGGAGGCCTTCCGCCTTGGCTGAGTCGTCGGCAAACCACGCCTGGGGGCCCTCCTCCGCTGGCCGCTTCATCTCCCATACGAGGGGCAGGGTGGCCACAGAGTAGAAGAGGGAGGCCAAGGGGCCGCCTTGTGTGTTCCCTTCTCGACTCCACAGCGGCGCGGATTGGTCGCGCATGTAGAGGGCCGCATGGCCGCGATAGGTGTTGAACAGGAAGCGTGAGCACCGCGGCCACAAAATGCGGACGTTCCACAGGGCGGCAGGGCGATTCATCGTGTTGAAGGCGTTCGTCGCATCCACCAGGATCGCGCACTCCACGTCACCCGAGTCGAACACGCCGGATACCGTATGAATGGCACCCTCCACGCCCCCCTTGAGCCCGGCACACAGCTGGTCTGCATCGCACAACCTCCGCATCCCGACCGCCTTCGCCATTGCCTTGCCCATGATGCGCATCAGGACCGCCCCGATCCCGATGGGCCGGACACCCGGTTGCTTGTCCAGGCGGATAAGCGGACATGCGCGCGGGGGGGGGGGTGACTGCTCGTAGGGCACATGCTCGTTGGCAATGTGTGAGTTCATGGCCGCTCACTTACTGCGCAGCTCCGCATTTGCCGCGCCGTACTTGAGAAGGAGACATGGCTCGCCACCAACAGGGCCGGCGCCTCCCTTCGTTGCCCGTGCCGCTCGATGCGGTTGGCGGTGATCTCGACCTGGGTGAGGGGAGGAAGCAGGATGGATCAGGGTCGCCTTCAACTCGAGGACCTCCCGAACGGTGCTGCCTGCAGTGTCGGCCTCAGCCAGGTCGTTGGGGTCCAGCGCGCCTCCCCCTTCCCGCAAACCGGACGGCCTGCCTGGCCTTGCCCTTGTCGATCAGGCGACGGAACTGGCGAAACGTGGCCTCATTGGCGTCGTCCTTGCCGACAGGCCTGGTGGCCAGGAGGGCGTTGTTGCGCTCAGCCTCCTGTACGAGCTGCTCGAAGTCCCCCTTCTCCCATTGGTCCACCCGCCGCTCCACCGTCTTGGCGATGTCCTTGCGAGTGGCATCTGGCGCCCGATAGAGAATCGTGCATGCAGATGAGGATGCGCTCGCTCGCAGCTGCTCCCCACGCCACCGACGGCCCTCGGTGGCAAGCAGCCGGGCCAGCCGCTTCCCCGAAGCGTCCGGCGGATCCCAGAGACACGTGCCGAGGCGGGCGTGCCAGCGCTGCCAGTCGGTGTCCATGAGGCCGCTCTGTGGGAGCCGGTGGCTCCGAAGGCCTCATGCATCTTCTCCTGGACGAATGAAGACGGCGGAGTGTCAGCAGGGGGAGCGAGGGGTATGCCTCGAGGCGGGCAGTGGGGAGGCTCGGCCATTGCTGAGACAGGCGTAGCAGATGCCCTTGCTCGAGGACGCTGGGCGGATGTGGCAGCTGTCGCACTGGGGAAGGACATACGACGCAGATCTGCCTTGAAAGGAAGACTCATCCGCGTGGAAGGCACGAGGATGAATAGAGGGGATGTTCGATTCCTCGGCGGTGAAGGTATTGTCCTCGGGCTCTCCATTCTCTCGATTCTCGCATATGCCTAGGTCACAGGGAATATATTTGCCGTAGCCAAGCTTGCTCCCCTTCCTCCTGCACCTTGATCCGATTTTTCCGCAGTGGCAACACTGCACAGGACCAGCGGCTGGGTGCAAGGGCGATGCATCGTCTCAGCACAGAGGCGCCCTCTTGAGACGGGGTCGACTCTGCACTCACTTTGGAGAGCTGCTCCAGCTGGATATGATGCTGACAGGTATGGCCCGAGCAGCTGTCATATAAAGAAGAAAAAACGGGGAAAGAGCTCTGCGAGCTCATGGTCCGCCGGGTGACATTTAAGACCGTTTGACGTGCATTGTCTGTGTAAGTTTTGTCCACAGACCGTTGGGGAAACAAGATACGATGCTGAAGGTTTAGAAGTAAAGTCACTTGCGGAGGTCCAGGTTTACGTCTGAATCATCTGGGATGAGAGCCATCAAGACATTTCCTACCTTTGTGGACCTCTTCCTGTTGCAATGTGTCTGTCTACGTCTGTGTGTCAGCTGCAATGATTATCCTCCTCCCAGGCTGCGCCCCGGCCTCCCATCCTCCCGCGGTGTCCTCTTGAACCACAGGAAACACAAACACAATGATATCCAAGAAACCAACAGCAATTCTGCTGACTTGGAGGCCTTGGAACGCCACATGGAGGTGCCATTCTACATATATCAAACGCCGGCAATGAAAGCGCTGTATCGGATGTGTCAAGAGAGCGCACGACAGATATTGTCGGGCCGATGGCCTACCAAACTCGATTTGGATGACAGGAAGAATGTTGATGAGGTCTACTGGCTGGACCAGCTGTGGAGCGACCCGTGGAGGACATTTGACCCTGACAATGCCCTCGTGTACGTCCTCCCAATCTATCCAGGTTTGTCAACGAGTGACGTAGGAGGAAATTCGGCAAAAAACGTTTGCTACTCTACGCTTACGTTCATGGCACACTAGTGCTTTTGTATCACTCGCTGTGCCGTGTGAAGAAAAGGGAGACGATACATTCACTGGCTGACAAGGCTGTGAAAGAGGTGAGGAAGCGTATGAACGCGTATCACACCCGCCATTGATTCAGGTGGCAGGGACGCCACAATGGCAGAGGAACGGCGGACTCGATCATACTCTCATGGTCAGCTCCTCATCTGATCAATACACATGTGTAAGTCGATGCATAAATCATGTAGATTACTGACTTCAAATTCAAGTATCCTGGTGAAGTGGATATGGTATTTGGGAGAGCGTTTGCGACATTTGCGAGGAACATGACGCAGGGGCGGCACCTTGCGGACAACCGTAAAGAACTGAAGGAGAATAACGAGCTAATTGCACTCTAATGGGTTGGCTTGATTTCACAGATAGAGCGATGTTTGGATGTGCTGTTACGGTTCCGTACACGTAGGGAAGCCATCCATCGTGCTGACATGAACAAATGCATAGACATCCACTGGTGCATAAGAGTTGTTTGCATGCAGGTCCTCGCTGACGGCGCTACAAAAAGCCTACCAGCCTTTTGAGAAGGAAAGCCTGCTGAAGCGCGGGCTCATCAAACCTACCGACGTGTTTGAGGATGACCGACTAGGCTCGGCTCTCAACCCTCCCTCGAGACACGACTGGTTCGAACGCGACTACACAATGTTCTTTCAAGGTTAGATACGGCAGCCCCCCGTTGCGGAATGGTTCTGTTCATGTGTGCCGCATGTAGGTAAGTTGGGGCACACCCGTCGATACCGTCATTTAGCTTTTGCCCATTTGGCGAGTTGGCACTACAAACCGGAGTCCTGTGTTGCCTGCATGTCACGGAACAACGTCTTTGTGGCGTCCGATCGCAGCAGATCACTCGCGCACTTTGTCCCCCTCTGTCCTCGAAAACGGAAAACGATAGACCTGCTTTCGGTGCAAGCGGGCAGGTTTGAGCGATGTTGGGGTACGACGAAGGTGTCGCACTCGCTCTTCGCAGAATCGACTTTCATGCACCGCCTGGCTAACTCCAAGTTGAATCTATGCTTTCGGGGGACCGACGTGATAACTTCGAGAGTCATGGATGGTTTCGCAGCACGCACGCTGAACGTCCTGATAAATGAGCTTGACGACGTTTTCAAGTACGGCATCCCCTTCCAGTGCGAAATCCCATGGAGGTATGCAGAGAGGGACAGAATGTGACGTCATCACACGGCCCGTATTGTGGGGGGTCTGTGCTGTTCCGCCTTACAGGAATTTCACTTTTGCGATCGAGGGCTCTGTCTTTGAGCAGGACCCTCGCAAAGCGCTGCAGCCCGTACTGGATGAGCTCTACAAGGACCACCGAACCGTCACAGAGAAGCTGCGCCTGATGGACTACTATAGCAAGAAGATACTGTGGAATGCGCCAAATAGCGAGACAGCAAGAAGTGTGCTCCGCGCAATGACACGACAATGCCTTACTGCCGAGGCGAAGCTCGACTATATCAAAAGGACCAGCAAAGATGGTAGGCCACGCTACACACAGAGAACAACTGCCAATTGGAATCTCGTCTATGTGTGTTGGGGGTGAAGGTACGGCGGCGAATGTGCGAGATCATCCCTTGTTCTCCCAATGTGCATTTGTCGACACTTCGGCAAAGCTAGAGGAACAACGGAAGCCGTGTGCGACGTGCAAAGCTCTGTGACCGCTCAGGGAAGACCAGTGGAAACCTTCAAGTCTAAGACATTGATATTATACTGTTTTAAGGCAGTGACTTCACAGTGATGTCTCTATGCGACTATCAATGTGATACTATTTTAGATCCCACCATCCCAATGATAGTGCACAACACAGGGTGCGAGGTGCGCCGCCCCTCTCATCTGCATGGACGGGCCGTGGCCAAAGCGGCTGTCACGTGAGGAGAGCTCTGGTCCTGTGCCTCGCGCTGCGTCACAGGCAACGAGCGCATTACCCCTTGACACGCAACGGTTTCAAACTACATTTTTTCAACGTCGCCGCTCTCCACCGCACAAATTCATCCTCGGCGGTCTTACCGAACATTTTCATTCGTATGGTCGCCCGACGCAGTTTTTCATTCTGTTTTCTCGACAAGGCCGCCTGAAGAGCACACAGTGTGCTGGATGTTGAAAAAATGTCTGATCATCCTGTACTTTTCCATCTACCTGTCTCTCCACCGCATCTTTTCAAATGTCTCGCTGTCTCCCACTGCACGTTTGCAATCGTCGCTGCCTCCACCGCATTTTTTCATTTCAGGCGGTTGCCCACCGCACATTTTCAAAAAAACAGACATACACACCATTACGTTTCCAGCGGGTACTGCTGTAGAGCGGCACAACCTGCTGTGCGAGAAGTGGCGGCGCATCATCAAGAGCGTCAAGATCACAGTCGACCGAGAGAGAGGTCAACCTGGCGCGTATCGGCGTCTACTCGGCCACCACCGCTCCAGACGGCAAACGGATCGACCTCTATTGGGTGCAGGAGGGAAAAGGCATGCTCGGCGACGTCACCATCGCCCACCCCACACGCCCCGACCCCTCCACCAACGGACACCACGCGGCCACCAACAGGCAGAACGGAGCAGAAAACGGCAAGGCGCGGCTGTAGATGTAATCGACCCTTAACCACTACCATCGAGTTTAACATTATAGGTACCTCACACCTGATCTCAGGCGCACAGCTGATGTCTCCCAGATATTCATAGACGTTAGCCAGATATTTGTGAAGCATATGCTCATGCCACCTTTGAGAAAAAGGAAATGGCCACAAATGGATGTGTTCTGATGCCAAGCATCATGAAATAAACAACACATCCTTCTCCAGCCACACAGTCACTAATACTTCACATCATTATTCTCTCATTATTCTCTATTGAGAAGAGGCAAAGGAATTTATCGCCGTTCACGAATGAGGAGGCGAACATCATGTGCATGAGTCTTGGCTGCACAGATAGACCAGTCGGATGGGACACATGAGCCGGCTATACACTCATTCATAAAAAAAGAGGTCTGTCGCCCTCGTACTCATCGCGGCTTCCCAGCCTGAAGTAGACGTGCCCGCTTCCCGCTACTTCGCACATGCTGGTCTTTTGCTCACGTCTCCTTGGTCTCCCGTGTGGTCGGCCCTTCCGTATTCCCCACACACGCGGTCACTATCGCTGCTCCCGAGCAGCCTCCAAGGCAGCCTCTGTCTTCCTCTTGCAGACAGGCTGGTGTGGTGCCCGCTCTGATGGGGTCCGTGCAGAGCACTCAGGACTGTACACGACGCTGATTCCGAAAGGACAATCTGTCGGCCTACTACCTGCCAGGCTGACGAGCTGAGAGCCCCCTTATCTCAGGTGTGCAGCAAATGAGGAAGAGGGGACAAAATGTATCTATTTGTATCTATCAGATCGGCCCGATAGAGTCGTGCAAGGTGGTCAACCTTTGCGAAGGATTCTGGTTTGTCGGTGAGGGGCACACGTGGCAGTTTGCACATATGGACTTTTTCACAGATCGATTGAGCGTTGCTGGCTCTTTGTGCAGAAGGCGATTGAGGCGTTGAATGGCCACGAAATCGAAAACAAGAACTGAAGGTTAGGATTCTGTACTGCACACACCTGCCTCAGAGGTGTGGTTATTCGCTCGCCAGGTGTGTTTGTGTATGTGTTTGTTGTGTGCGTGTACTCCGGTCCAGCGACGCGATCAAGAATGCGAACCTGTACGTGCGCGGACTGCCGAACAAGTGCAGCGAGGTTTTTGGGTTCCAGAGATTTAATCATGGATTTAATTCCGCCCAGAATCATTCGACACGCCGCGGGAATGTCCATTTGGTCACAACGCTTTGTCACCTCATCCTCCTTTGCTGTTTGCGATCTTTTAAATCTGTATTGCTATTTGGGGCCCTGACGTCTTGTCGAATTGGCGGCCGATCACGAGGAGTCCAGGTCTCTGTGTTGGCTCGGAGACGTGTGCGAACTGCTGCCTGAGGTAGGTAGGTGGATGGATGTCGTCTGAAAGGCAGGCGGACCCCACAAATCCGGGCCTACTTGCCTGAGCCCGTCGTTCATACGGATGCCTCAAGGAGACCTGTTGTCTTCCTGGGGGATGCCGCTGGTGGCTGTCGTAAGTGCAAGTGATGCGCCCGTGGGGAGAAGAGTCGCCTCGCTGACGGCAATCCCTCGAAAGAGCTCCAAGGATTGCTCTGGCGGAGAGAGCGCTTTTCAGCCGCTGGCCGGGGGCGTCTTCCCTTTTTTTGCGTAGATAGAAGAGACACTGCTTCGAAACCTTCAGACGGATTTCGTAGATATCGGGTTCTTCCGTGACGCAACACCTTGGAAACGCCCCACCGAACTTATGGTCTCCTGACTACCGGCATTCTTGAGAAACGCATCCAGTGTGTGCAGTAGTCAGTGTGTGCACTGTCGTACAATGCGTTCATGTGAATGCACAGACCAGTATATCAACAGCGATAATGTAGTGTCTCTGTACAACCTATCCAACCAATCTATCAACATCATGGGCTACAATGAACACTCACTCACTCTCCCCCTCCCCCCTTCCTCTTGGGACGCTCACTATCATCTACGGCGGGCTGCTCCGCTGCGGGCTGCTCTGCTGCTACTCTTGCCAACAAACGTGTAATGCCTTGACTCCATGGCCCGCCGGTGATCGATGGCCCTCTGCAAGGCCTCGTCGTCGCCGTACTTGTTGCGGGAGAAGGACTTTTTCCTCTTCTTGCCGTCCTCCTGCCATTCGGCCACCCATGCATGGTCTTTCTTGTCGTAGGTGACGCCCCTCACGCCGCTCTGGTGCTCAGCGGGCTTCTGCACAGACGCCCTGGCGCTACGCTCCATCTCGAGACGGTGCTCCTCAGCCAACACCTGACATACACACACATACATACAGGTGCAACATGCATGGCTGACATAACAGCATGAAGTTCAGCCGATTAAGCGGATACCTTGGCATTGTCGCCGTGCTCCTTGACGTAGAAGTACTTGTGCTTATGCTTGCCGTCAGCCTTCTCCCACCAGGAAGCCACCCAGGCCTGGGTATTCTCGTTCCAGGAAACACCCGTCACATCAGACTGGTGTGCTGCAGCAAACCCACACACACACGAGAACAGGTGCCGCCTTTCTTTCCCTCTCATTTGCTCACCCGCGACGTTGACGACAGTCTTCCTTCGCTTGTCGGTGGTCTCGCGGCGGTGGCCAGCTTGGAGTCGTCCCAATCGCCCGTAGTACTATCATGTTGATACACAACAGACAGAGAACTTTCCCTTCACATTTGTGTTTTCTCGTGCCATATTTGCATTCATCCCACCTCCGTGCGCCACTTGAGAAACCCCTCCTCTCCGTGCAAACGCATCATGCGCAAATGGAACTCCTACTTCGCTCTCTGGGACCTCTGTAAAACAAACACGACGTGACCGAAAAACAAAAGGGGCGGCATGTCAATTTCTCACCGCGCTGCACAATGCGCGATAGTCCGCGTCGGATATCAACGGGCAGCCATCCCTGTGAAAAGAGATATTGCATAAGTGCCGTGTATATGTGGCCTGCATGGCTCCTCTCTCACCCCTGCACACGTGGCTGCACGTAGAGGTAGTAGAAGTCAGATATGGCCATCCTTGCACACCTCTCGATCAGCTCCCGCTGGCGCGACACCTCCTCCTTCAGCCACGTCGCGAGCTTGACCGCATACTGCGACACATAATGCAGGAAGTCAGCGCAGGGAATGTCATGCGCAATGCGTACCGTGAGCTGGTGGGACCTGACGAAGCGATCAAGCTCAGCCCAGGTGTAGATCCCGTCGTTGACAGCCGAGATGAAACGAATCAATTCCTGCACACAAACCATGGAGAGACTCATACACATCGACATGTCATTTCGCCTCTGCACCTGCTCGTCAATGGCTCCGCCTGCTGAGGTGTTGAGCACCCCATCGAACGAATCGATGTGAGGCGGCAGCTCCACGCCGTACGTGTCCTTGAGGTATTTCTTGATGGCCGTGAAGCGCTCCACGGGGTCGACTATCTTGATGACGTCCTTGAGGGTCCGCACCACATCCATCTCTGCGTCTGCCAGGTCTGGCAGCGTCTCGTGCCCCGTGTACGGGTACACTGAACTCAAAGGACACAGAATGAATATGAGCGGGTTGATCTTGATGGAGCGTCTGACTCACCTCCTAGGATGAGTGTGTGTGACTTGTCTGAGGCGCACTTGACCAGATTGAAGGCCACCTGCCCCTTGGTGTCCATCAGCGACCCCGCTTCACTGGTCAGCAAGTACGACTCGTACACTTGACGCTTGTCACTGCCGTGACTATACATACTGAAAAAGGAGAGAGACAAGTCTCGCTGCGGTCATTCAGACGAGCTCACTCCTTACCGGCCATAGGGTGCGTGGCGCTTTTCAGGCTTCTTGGGGTACTGCTGGTCAGGCCTGGACACACCCGTGTAGAAGTACCACTTGCCTCGGCACCTATACTGCACACGGACAAAGAACAGAGGCGGGATGACGGGTGTCAGTGACTTGGCCAGTTACGTGCTTACCGCTTTAAAATAGAGTACGGCTGCCCCCTCGTTTGTTATGAACCCCTCGCTTTTTCTCGACACAAGCAGTACTAGCATACGGTGAATGACCCTTTATCTTTGTTGTCACCGTATGCTCTCTTGTGGCTCGAGAAAATGGTGGATGTGCTCGGTCGCCCGTCACGGGGGCATCGAGAAATAGCTCAAGAAGGCACGTCCGGCTTGCGCCTGGCAGGCCACTGAAACCGGTGCGTTTCGCCATGCATGCATGTATGGCGAAACACAGCGCGTTTCACCACAGACTTACAGAACCGTCACGTATGGCAATCTTTGCACTGATCCAATTGCACTGATCGACTTGTCGTATTGCGTTCGCAGGATATCGATTGGAGAGCTCGTCGGCATTGTTTCTGTTCACAAGGTGGAGATGAAGCCTACACAACCGTGCGCCAGTATGGGCTGTCAAGATGCAGCTGCAGCAGGAGAAGGGCCTTCTCGCCACAAAACAAACAGTCATTCATCAGTCGACCAAGATGGAGGACAACCGCACACTGGCTCATTACAATGTCCAGGAGGACGCGACTCTGCACTTGGATCTTCCGTGAGGACACAAACAAGTCGTCCACTCATATTATGCCCGAGTGTCCTTTCTGTCTGTTACTGTATGGCTTGCAGTGTGCACACCAGTGGCTGTTGCGGTTTCGGGCCGAGCACCGGTGTGTCGGCAGAGGAGCTGTCAATGCTGACAGAAATGGATTGAAGTAATGCGGCGCTGGTCGAAGCCTGGCATGGCAAAGAGCACGTGCTTCAGCTGGTTGGCGAGGTGACAGAGGCCTTTAATGAGCCACCATACTTACAACATCCTGCTCACCAAGCTCCGCAAGATCT